TATAACAGTTTTCTTCTGTGTGTTTACCCTTTTTCGTTGAAGGTGATGAAGGACTGCTATATATATAAATTATATGATTGCAGGAAAATTCGCCCATCAATCCTTCATTACCTTATTCTGACTTGTTATAGAAAATAATTATCAAAGGGTTATAATTCCTTATCCTTCCATACCTGACTATAAACAATATCGGTTCAATAAAGAATATTATTTGAGACGAATTTGTGAGTTTATTACTTTGTCACTTGTCGCAAACTTTTCGTCCTTTTTACTATATAATAAGATAGATTAACTATTAATTGAGTGGAAAATAGAAAGTTTATTTGCCGAAACTTGTATAGCTTTTTCACTTTTGTTAAATTTCATAGGTCCGATCCTTTATTCAAATTAAATAGCTATAGAATTGTGTTTTCAACCTTGTGCTGGTGAGACCTGTCTCATTCTTTGCTATCGTTTGCCCCAATACCAAAGAATCGGATTAAATTCAATAGATTATTCGTTAGGGGATTAAAGGTAGATAAGCCCATTGTACAAACTGGATATAAAATATGGGGACCACAGATCCGCCGTTCAGCTCTTGTTGATAAGCGCGATATGAAATATTTCATTAAAATTTTAAAAATTTATAAGTTCGTAAGTAGATATTGGAAGCAAATTAATTACCTTTAAAAGGAAGTCTATTTATCTAGCCTGGCTATAGTTTAAATCATAGCCACTAATTCTGCCAATCTCATTTTATAAAGCAGATATACCGCATAAAAATACATTTATATGATTTTAAAGGATCATTATATACCTAGTACAGTTAAATATTTTTGTATAATTATAGCGGGTAATGATAGATGAGTTGGTTTGCTAGACTCGTTTCAGGCATAAAGCCAGCGTAAAAGTTATATGATGAACAAATGCTATGCAAGTTTTTACCTAAACCGAATAAGAATGCCTCTAAGACGGCGCAGTGTTAACAGGACGGGAAAATCAAGCATCAGAAAAAGGCGGATATATAAAATTTCCAATTTTGACTCTAAAAGAAACTTACCTTAACAGATATCTAAAATGATGCGGATAAAAAATTTGCCATCAGAAACGATGGATTTTGGCAGCAATCAGATTTCGGCTAATTGCTATCAAACGTGTAGTCGCAACAATTCATCTACATAAATTGCTACGAAATTCAAAATTTATGACTAGCTCCTTTTTTTGCCAGGGCCAAATTTCCCACTTCGGGACCTACAAAGAACTAAAGGCGGCAGGCGTCGACTTCTTCAAAATCTGTACCAAAGAACCGTTATCGCCCGATCCCAACTCAGTCGAGCCAGTGCCCGGGTGTCTAGACGCAATCTGTGTGTCTGGTGGCATGTCATCATTGTCTCTAGATGCAATGGCTGGAGCGACCACCTCAAGTGGGCCCGCTGTTATTGGAAGTGCTCCCTGTCCGCCCAGTGGCATCGGGTTGAGTGCCATTTTGGCTCCCTCTGGGGTGCACACAGGCCCGGGCACGACCACCGGTGTACTGCCTGCTATTGAAGAAGACGAGGCTAGAGCCTCTGCTTCCACCTCCTCGGCTTCCACTCCAGCCCAGTCTCCTAACGCTTTGCGTCGCAGCCTGAAACTTAGTGAAGTTTTAGGGAGACACATTAAAGAGGAAGAAGAACTGGAGGCAAAACATAATAATATAAATATAAAAGATACTGAATCTGAAGGTAATGAAGGGATTTCAGACAAAGGGTCGTTGAAAGACCAACAGAATGATAAAGCAAAAGAGAATGAGGCCGAGATACTTAGCGGAAATGACGAGAAGGCTGAAAAAAATAATTACGAAAAGGTTGGATCGGTAGGAACCCCGCGCTTTTCTAGCGATTCAGATGCAAGTGAACTAACTGGAATACGAACAGAGCAGATGAGCAAGATGTCTGATTGGTCGATAGAGATCGAACCAAGCCGCCTGGGCACCGAAGATCTGGGTGAAGTTGATACTGGTGGTGGTGGTGGCGGCGAAGAAGAGCCCGAGTATATTGGGGTGACACTGAGGCGAGAATCTGCGGCCCTACGTCGTGAAGGTCTCAAGATGAGCGTGTGTGGCGACCGGATCTCCTTCTCGGTAAATATAAAGTCAGTAGATGAACAATTTTGCCACATTATCAGTGATATTCAGAGATATGAAACTTTTTTTATGTTCCTGGATCCCTTATTTTTTTAGAAATCGGCAAATTCTATTCGTTACTATTTAAATACCTCATTTTTTGTCTGAGTCTACTCCGTTCAAAATAGTTTTCATGTTAAGATGTTAAAAACAAATCATCTCTGGGATTAATATTTTATTCAAAATATCACACGCTGTTTAAAAGTGATCTCTATTTTTCCGTAAATATTTATCATAAGCTGCAATGGAAGTTAGTCCGCGTGTATTTCTAAGCTATATAAGAATAGAATATTCCTACTCGCGACCTTTTGCAAATCGTGCTTCATTTGCGGCATGCTTGTTTACATTAAAATAGTTCAAGGCAAAGAGGAACGCAAAGCAATCTTGACTGAACTTGGCAAGAATGAGTAAAATTTTCTCAGTAATGTCACCCCAAAAAGTAATTGACTCAGTTTTTTAAAGACGTTACAGTTCGTCTCCAATATTTGAGAAAAATAAGAGGCCTTAGCAATAGGTTGATTGGTCGTATTCGAAAAAACATACTCCAACCGGACAGCCCTTGGTTTCCAGGCCCACAAACAGGGGGCATTATTTGTTTCTATGTGGCATCATATGCAGGATGGCCTTTAGTAGATTTTGAGGTTGTCGGGCTTTTTCAATTCAGGATAATACGATCTCAAATGAAGAGATTAGTCGTTCTGAGGTGTCTATAAATGTGGATATGCAGACATTTATGTTCAAGGCGGGTCGAAATATGGTTGAACTTTATCTTTTATGATAGCTTTTTCGGCAGCTCAGGTCAAAGCAGACCAATGGGTTTTTAGGATACTTATTCTAGCTAAGTCAGGAAGCTGTATTTTTGCGTTCCTATAGAGGTAGAAGTAAATCATTTATTTAAATCCACATGAATTAGAGGATAATTTATGAAAAATCCACCAAAAGATGTTGGCATAATTTCTATTACGTTAGAAGAGGTAAGTGGAAGAGATTTTTAAATTGACCTTATCGAAAAACGAAAGTGGAGCTGTGACAATAGATTCATGTGAATAGGTCCACTGCGCATTGTTTCATGACTCGATAGATCCGTGCTTAGTTTTCGTCCGTCATGTGAAGGGCAGTGTCGGAGCAAGACATCATTGTCTACAAGGATTTACTAAGCACCAAGAAAAGTAAGGTCTCTAGTATAGTGAATTCTTGTAACTCATGATTTCCTATTCTGACATGGCAGATAAAAGGGCGTTGCGACAAGTACTTATTTGCAAAAACTGTGAGGCAATATTTCTTCGGCTTCTCTTGTGCTAATTTATTAATCCTTTCCAATAGCAGCTTTAAACTAAATAAAGGGTTTGCCAACATTGCTCATTTAATGGGTTTTCAGAGCTTACAATATCTCAATTCCACCTAATGATGGTTTTTCGCCACTATAAATAGAAACGTTTGGCCAAAAATCTGTGAAAAACTACTTGTCTGACCTGTTGAGGTTGATGTGGAACAGTAATCTGGTCATATACACGAAATCGAATCAAATCCCAAGGGTATTGCAACTCAACTCTCGTAGAGTCGGGTAGATCAGGCGTAAAATCCGAAAGCTCCTCTCGGATAAAGATGGCATTATTGTAGGTCTCATCGAGAGATAAGTCGGGTTGAGCATATAGACGACTGCGATTAAACGAAAAAAATTTAGAGTCGACTGTAGGCGAAGAGAGGAGGAATGTTGTTTAATTCTTCTTCTTCTACTTTGAGAGAAGTTTTTGCGATTATAACAAAAGTGGGTCTTATTACACGTCATTTCGCACCAAGTTAGCGTAATTTCTGGGGATAGCATGAGCTAAACAGAAGAGACATGTCACTATGACTGGTTGGCTGAAAGTAATTTTATTTTGGTGCAAAACTCTTAGGCACATGTGAAATTCAAGTGAGGCCAGGCAGCTTCCCATATCGCCTTCTGTGGTGGGATTGTCGATGAGGTAAACTTGTATTTACTATAACAATCGACTAACCTATTTATATTTTGTTTTACGTAGGTTTTCAAGACTTCCAATAGATCATATATATGAGGTGTATTCATCATATCTCTTGTAAGGTGATAAAGGGACAAGTAGTTGAATTTTTCTACAATGATATGAATATACCTGTCTTGGTTCGAGTCCCGCTGAGGGTGTTGATAAGTTCTGTGCGAGATAGAAACTGCAGTCCATTCTGGGGTACCTTTTTGGAAAACAAGGCTATGTGAAATTTAGTAGGAATGTCATGTTTACTCATATCATTGGGGGAAAATTCATCTTGCAGTCCCTTTATCACCTAAAACGAAAGACGGTTAATACACCTCAAAAATGTGAAACACTGGTAGTCTCGGAGACAAACCTAAACACGAAAAGTAAAGAACTAATTTTATTCTAAATTCAGGATGCAATAGCAGTGTTGTGTAACCACATGTTATCATGTCAATCACAGCTTTCAGAGGCGGACTTAATGGATGATCCGCGCTTCTTCATGAACGGCTTCGTTCCAGTCTCCAGCCAACTTCGGAAGGCTAGTGACTCGGCCTTTACGCCGACAGTACTTGCCAGTGAACCATCTGCAGCCCTGGGAAATCTTGTGACAAATGCTACAGTGTCGTCTTCCCTCAGCGCTTTAACACAAGCTCCTGGACAAGGCGATGTGATGCAAAGTGGGCGGGTGAGCCAACGGCGCATAGAAATGCTGAATCGGCGTTTTTCTACTCTCTTCTCAGAGATGGGCCGTCGAGAAAGTCTGGCCACAATCCAGACAGAAGATCTGATGGAGCTCGATGAAGCTGCAGAAGCAGCAGAACATGCGGCAGCCGTAGCTGCGACACAGCATGCCGCTGAAGAGGCGGGACTCGACGATGCAGCAGTCGGCCTCTCTGGCGTCAGCTGGCATCACTATCTGGCCTATATTCGCCTCAGTGCTGGCTGGTTGGGCAGTCTCATAATACTCTGTCTTTTTCTCATCCCAATCCTTGGGTTTGGCGGCTGCAGCTACTTCATGGCCTTGTGGTATGAATGCCGTGTTTTCTTTTCTTTGCATAGAAAAAAATCAAATTCTGACCATGTATTTGTTGAAATAACCTCCTTTTCGAGTGAAAGTGTGTGATGAAGAGCTTCAAAGGTCGAAAACACCAGAAAACTACTGCCGAATCCACTTGACCAACTGTCGGTTGATTTTACCGAGACATTCTTACTGACGCTGTCTGTCACCGAGGTAATGGACATCAACAGAACAGGGTATCATTCTTGTAACCATATTCAGGTTTATCCTTAAATATCATACGCATACTATTAATCCATGTATTTTGGTGAGTTATAATTTGCTTAGAAGCCTGTACGCGAGGGTAGTTTATGCGTGCGCCTATGAATACTCATGGTACCAGTAAGCAAGGGGGAAAAACATCTTAACAGGCAAATATAACGCTTTCTTTAGTTACGTCAATTTTAAGGGGGAAATAGCACATATCATCTAGGTCAAGCTACCATAAAATAGTGATTTTTATAGAAGTAGTTTGACCTTGTTTTCGCGACTTGGTCATATTGGTAGGAAGACTTAGAGGAACTCACCTAGTCCGGAGCCCATTGTTGCATGATACTTTCCAAAGATGGACCGTGGACGTGGTACATTCCCAGATGTTTCGCGTGGTTCTTAGTCGGCATCGTCAGTGAGTCTCGCCATTCTTAGCACCACACAACAACTCGTCAAAGAGACAAGTGAAGCCGATCCTTTGACCAAATGTGTTTAAACATTTGGGATATCTCTCATTCTGTCATGGGTCATTCACCACTCCTATATCCTCGTATCATGCCTTCTCTATCAGATCTTTTTTTTGACAATTTAAATGTAGTGTGCTGTGCCATTTTGAGCGGCTTTCATGAGAACCCTTCACACTCAACACTGGCGTCCTCACCCTACCCTTCACCCTTGTGGTGGGAATGTTGATCAGAGTCTGCCAGGTTGTTACGATGTCCTCCTTCGATAGGTCTTATCAGAGCCTCCCTCTTGCCCATAAGAT